ATAATAAAATAAAATAAACATCTACCCACGCACGGCTCTCCGCAGAACGCACGCAAGCCACCCCTGGGCTGCGACTGACCTGGTCACAGCGGGTTGAGGGCCTTCGGGGAGACCCGGGTGGCGGCGGCCGGAGGGGAGGGGGAGTGGGGGGCCGGGACGGACCCTGCAGGCAGGTCGCCCCCTCCTGGGCCCGGGTCCGCCCCGCCCCCGGCCGGCCGGCTTCCGCTCCAGGATGCTGCCACCCGGGCGGCGGCTCCGGGCTCAGCTGCTGGCAGCGTCACCTCTGGATCCGGTTACGGCGAAACCCAACCCGCCCTTCCTCCGGGCGATGGAGGGCGGCTGACCCCGGGGACCCTCACGGTCACTGCTCCCCGCGCCAGGCGGCGGGCCCTCCGACCCTGGCACACGCACACACTCACACGCACACACACACACATTCACACGCACACACACACACACACACTCACACGCACACTCACACGCACACTCACACACACACTCACACACACACACACTCACATGCACACACACTCATACACTCACACTCACACTCACACTCACACTCACACACTCACACACTCACACGCACACACACACACACACTCACACACACACACACTCACACGCGCACACACACACACTCACGCACACACACTCACACGCACGCACACACACACGCACATGCACACACACATTCACACGCACACACACACACACGCACATGCACACACACATTCACACGCACACACACACTCACACACACGCGCACACACACACACACTCACACACACACACACGCACACACTCACACGCACACACACACACGCACATGCACACACACATTCACACACACACACACACACTCACACGCACACTCACACACACACACACGCACACACTCACACGCACACTCACACGCACACACGCACACACACACTCACACACACTCACATGCACACACACACTCACACACACACATTCACACGCACACACACACTCACACGCACACACTCACACACACACACTCACACGCACACTCACACGCACACACACTCACACACACACTCACACGCACACTCACACGCACACACACTCACACACACACACTCACATGCACACACACTCATACACTCACACACACACTCACACGCACACACACACTCACACGCACACTCACACGCACACACACTCACATGCACACACACTCATACACTCACACACTCACACTCACACGCACACACACACACTCACACACACACACTCACACGCACACACACTCTCACACACGCACACCCACACACACGCACACCCACACACACGCACACACGTGCACACTCACATGCACACCCACACACACGCGCACACACACACACGCACGCACACACGTGCAACTCACACACACTCACACCCACGCACACACACACGTGCACACACACACTCACTCACGTACACATACGCACACACGCACACACACTCACACACACTCACACACGTGCACACACACATGCACACACACGCACACATGCACACACTCACGCGCACACACGACAGTCACATCACACACGCGCATGCACACACTCACACACACTCACACACATGCACACATGCACACACACTCACACGCATGCACACATGCACACATGCATGCACAGAGAGGAAGCGTGAGGCAGAGAGGAAGGGTGAGACGCGGACCGATCACGCCGGGGACTTGTTATTCTTAGAGCTGGGCACAAGGGAAGGAAGACACAACACAGAGAGAGAGAGAGAGAGAGAGAGAGAGAGAGAGAGAGAGAGAGAGAGGCATCCATGCTGAGAGAGAATGGATTCTTTCCTTTTTAAAAAAAAATATATTTTATTGATTTTCCACAGAGAGGAAGGATGAGAGATAGAGAGCTAGAAACATCGATGAGAGGGAATCATTGACCAGCTGCCTCCTGCACACCCCCCACTGGGGATGTGCCCGCCACCAAGGCACATGCCCCTGATCGGAATCGAACCCGGGGCCTTTCAGTCCGCAGGCCGACGCTCTACCACTGAGCCAAACCGGTTTCGGCTCTTTCCTTTAAAAAAAAAATATGTTTTTTATTGATTTCTTACAGAGAGGAAGGGAGAGGGATAGAGAGTTAGAAACATCGATGAGAGAGACACATCCATCAGCTGCCTCCTGCACACCCCCCACTGGTCCATGCCCTTGACCGGAATCGAACCCGGGACCCTTCAGCCCGGGACCCTTCTCAGGCCCACGCTCTATCCACTGAGCCACACCGGTTTCGGCGAATCACGGATTATTTTACCGAGAACTGTGAGCCGTGCGGGGACCCAGGGCGACGGAAACGCTGGCCTGTGACCCCTCAGAACGGCCCACGGGCACCGACCTTCGCTTCCTGAGGACAGAGATGCCTCGGGCCTTTCCCAGAACAGCTTCCCGGGGGCCCACGCCGCACACCCGCCCTGGGCCTGGCCCCCGCGGCCCACGGGCGGCGAGTGCACGTCCGGTCAGCGGCGAGGCCGCCTCCGGACCGGACCTGGGGCTTTCCAACCGGCCCCCGAGGCCTGTGCCTGCCCGGGAACCGAACCCGCCGCCCCTGGGGGCACGGGAAGTGGGACCAAAGAGCATGCAGCTGGGGTCACACATGCCAAGACACGCCGGACCCCAGGGACCGCACACGGGAAACGCATAGGAAAAACGGGCAAAAGCAACCCTTTGTCATGTCCCTTCGTTCATTTTCATTTTTCCCGCTGGTTTTTTTTTTGCGGGGGGCGGGAGGGAGAGAGGGGAGGAGGCCGGGAGAAGCCTCGATGTGGGAGAAACACATCCACGGGCCTCCCTCCCTCCCTCCCTCCCTCCCTCCCTCCCTCCCTCCCTCCCTCCCTCCCTCCCCTCGCTGCAGTAACGGGCCCTGGACCGGAATCGAACCCGGGACACCCTTCGCTCTGCGGGCCGGCGCGCTATCCACCGAGCGACACTGGCCAGGGCTGTTTATTGATCTACTTATCGTTGAAAGAAAAAGCCCAGGCGGCCGGAACCGGTGTGGCTCAGCGGATAGAGCACCGGCCTGCGGACGGAACGGTGTCCCGGGTTCGATTCCCGGTCCAGGGCGTGCACCTTGGTTGCAGGCACATCCCCCGTGGAAGGTGCGCAGAAGGCAGCTGGTCGGTGTTTCTCTCTCATCATCGATGTTTCTGGCTCTCTCTCCCTCTCCCTTCTTCTTTGTAAAAAATCAATAAAATATATTTAAAAAAATAAAATAAAACCCCAAGGCAGCCAGCCCCCCAAGACCCCCCTTCCTCCCTCCCTCCGTTCCCCCCTCCCTCCCTTGCTGCGGGCTGAAGGGACCAGCTGGTTCCCAGGCAGCGCTGGGGAATCCCAGCAGGAAGATCCGCGCACAGACGCGCCCCCACAGCTTTTGAGGAAGGTGAAGGCCCTGGAGACGTGCCCGCCTCACCCACAGGGCCTGCAGGCTGGGCGGGCACCGGGGTGCCAGGAGGAGAGGCCTCCCCCCAAACCTGCCCCCTGCTTCCCAGACAGCAAAACGGAATCCAGTGTCCCGGGACCGGGGACCCCTGAGGGTAGCACCCCCTCCCCCCGCAGGGCAGGGGGAGACGGGGCAGGTTTGGGTCTCAGCGTCCCCAAGGGGAAGTGGGCAGCGAGCAGAGAGAGAGCAAGGCAGGTCCTCTCAGATGGAAGCGCGGGCACTTCCTCTTTGTGTGTGTGTGTGTGTGTGTGTGTGTGTGTGTAATTCTCCCTCGAGCATATTTTTCCCATTTAAAAAAATATATATATTTTATTGATTTTTTACAGAGAGGAAGGGAGAGGGAGAGAGAGTTAGAAACATCGATGAGTGAGACACATCGACCAGCTGCCTCCTGCATACCCTCCACGGGGGTTATGCCCGCAACCAAGGTCCATGCCCTTGCCCGGAATCGAACCCGGGACCTTTCATTCCGCAGGCCGACGCTCTATCCACCGAGCCACACCGGTCCCGGCTCCTCCTCCTCTTTCCAGCAGCCTGCACCGCTGGCCGGACGGGTTGGCCCACTCCCCGTGTCAGAGGGATGGACGCAGGAATGTGTCATGGCCTGTCTGTCTGGATGCACCGGCCTGCAGGCCTGGCCCAGGGCTCCGGCGAGGGCACGGCCCTAACTAACCACCGTCCACGCTTCCTTCCTTCCTTCCCGGGAGATGAGAGTGAGGCTGACACACAGGACAGGGACAGACACACACACACACACACACACACACACACACACACATGCACGCACACGCACAATCACCAAAACACCCCAACCCAAAACTATACGTTTCCTTCCAGTTTAGAACTCAAAATGATAGGTCGCCATCATTTCCAAAGCATGTCAGCCTCCACGGGGTTGTTGTTGTTATGATTAAAATACTTAAAACACGTTTTCATTGATTTTCAGAGACAGAGAGAGAAAGGGAGAGAGATAGGAACACCCATGAGAGAGAAGCATCACGGACCGGCTGCCTCCTGCACGCCCCCACACTGGGGATGGAGCCCCCAACCCGGGCCTGTGCCCCGACCGGGAATCGAACCCTGACCTCCTTGTTCCTAGGTCGACGCTCCACCCCTGAGCCACGCCGGCCGGGGCTAATGTTTAGAATCGAAGCGAGAACCCTCAGATCCATTTTTATCATAAACAATTCACCCCCATCACAGCCATGCCACATCCTCCCGTGGAGAGACCCCTCGTCCCCATGTGGCCTGGGCTCCCCCCGGACACACACACACACACACACACGCACACACACACACACACACGTGTGGCGGGATCGGCCAGCCCCGTCCTTACCGTCGTGCGTGTCCATGGCGCGCTCCGGACTCACGGCTGACCCCGCCGGCCCCACACACCAGTACATGCTGGGCGGTCGCCCCGACATGCCAGCCATCAGCCCTCGGGGCGGCCGCTCCCCCAGGTCCGCGCTGGCCGTGGTCACCGCGGCGGCTGCCTGGGGCGGGGCCCGGGGCGCGGGCGCTCGGTCATGGCTGAGCCAATGGCCGCCTCGCTCTGGTGGTAAAAAGAAAACCATCATGAAATCAGAACGCTTTTCTTTAAAAAACACACACACACACACACACATTTATTTGTTATTATTATTTAGTTGTTGTTTTTTTAAATCCTCACCTGAGGATATCTTTTTTAAAAAATATATATATATATTTTATTGATTTTTTTACAGAGAGGAAGAGAGAGGGATAGAGAGTCGGAAACATGGATGAGAGAGAATCATCGACCAGCTGCCTCTTGCACACCCCCCACTGCGGATGTGCCCGCAACCAAGGTATGTGCCCCCGACCGGAATCGAACCCGGGACCTTTCAGTCCACAGGCCGATGCTCATATATCCATTGAGCCACACCGGTTTCGGCTCGTGTTCTCTCTCTCTCTCTCTCTCTCTCTCTCTCTCTCTCTCTCTCTCTCTCTCTCATATTCTTATTTATTTAGAGAGAACCATCTGTTGTCCCACTTACTTATTAATGCTTTCATTGGTTGCTTCTTCTTTTTAAAAAAAAAATATTTTATCGATTTTTTTTTTTTTTACAGAGAGGAAGAGAGAGGGATAGAGTGAGAAACATCGATGAGAGAGAAACATCCGTCGGCTGCCTCCTGCACACCTCCCACCGGGGATGTGCCCGCAACCAAGGCACATGCCCTTGACCGGCATCGAACCCGGGACCCTTCCGTCCGCAGGCCGACGCTCTACCCACTGAGCCAAACCGGTTTCGGCGGAGCCACATGGTTTAGACGTAAACATCTTCCGAGGCCACTTCTTCCACACAGACGCGCCCAGGCCCGTGGCCGAGAGCCACCTGCGAGGGGCCGGAGAGCCGCACATGGCTCGCGAGCCGCGGTGTGCCGGCCACGTGACCTCACCTGTTAGAAACCCCACCCGTCCCCACACCCCCACCTGCCGGCGGACGGTCCCCCCATCTGCAAAGAGAAGTCCCTCCCTGGGACGTGTTGAAGTTTTTAAAATTTGTGTGTGTGTGACTCCTTTAACCTTTAGATATTTCAGGCCGCCCTCACCCAGCTCAGTCTGTTCCTCTTTCCGTTTTCAGTTTCCTTCTGAAACCCGCTCTGCCAGGGGAGGCGCTAAGGTGGACGTTTTAGGAGTTGGCCGCGTTTTCCTCATCCTCCTGGGACAGACACCCTCAGCAGGGCGCCTCGGGGTGTGTGTGTGTGTGTGTGTGTGTGTGTGTGTGTTCCTGCCCAAATCGTCCGCTTCACGCATTTTAAAACCCCCCCACGTTTCTCTGGCCCACGTTCCCTGGGGGAGAAACCCAAATACGTCGTGAAAGAGGGACGCGGAAAAACAAAGCTGAGCCCTGGCCGGTGTGGCTCAGTGGACAGAGCGCCGGGATGAGGTCTGAAGGGTCCCCGGTTTGATTCCCCGTCTAAGGGCCCAGGTCCGGGTTGCGGGCTCCATCCCCAGGAGGGAGCCGATCTATGATTTCTCTCTCTCTCTTTTCCTCCCCCTTCCTCTCTGAAATCAATAAATTATTACTATTTTTTTTTTTTTTTTAAAAATCAGTTGCAAAACACTCGGAAGTGAAGCACGTGACAAATGCTCATGTCACCCAGATTTTTTTTAAATATATATATAGTTTTAAAAATGTATATTAAAAAAGAAAAGAAAAAAGAGTTAAACAGATGGAGGGAGCCTGCAATCAAGGTACGTGCCCTTGACCGGAATCGAACCTGGGACCCATCAATCCTCAGGCCGACACTCTACCCTCTGAGCAACACTGGCTAGGGCTGATTTACCTATTTATATTATTAATGTTTTAAAAAATTGATTTCAGAGAGAAAGAGAGAGAGAGAGAGAGAGAGAGAGAGAGAGAGAGAGAAACATCCATGATGAGAGAATCATGGACCGGCTGCCTCCTGCACAGCCCCTCCTGGGGATCGAACTCACAACCGGGGGCCTGTGCCCTGACCGGGAATCCAACCCTGACCTCCTGGCTCACAGCTCAACGCCCAGCCACGGAGCCCCGGCTGTTTCTGTGTTCCTACTTCTTTCCAATTGTTATTTTTCAACGACAGTTTGTATGAAACTCCTGGCCTATGTTTCCCATTTCATGTCTCCATTCTTCCCGGACAGGAGCAGAGAGCAGTCAGGTTTCAAAGGCTCTAACATGGGCTCTAACATGGCCTGTGCCTGTCCTAACCCTCCCCTCGCCACGCTGAGAAAGGGGGCGAACGCGGGGAGCAGGGTATTGGGGTGAGGCACCCGTAGCTCTCCCTCTGCACCTGCCTGGGGACGGATTGGCGAGAACAATAAATCTGAGAACGGGCGGGTTGCTCTGGCCAGAGGTCCCCTCATCCCCTGTCACCCTCTCACCCCCACACCCCCAATTCTCCATCCCTCTCTCTCTCTCTGACACCTGCACTCTAACCTGCCCCCCCCCCCCCGGCCCGGACAGCACCCACCTCCCGCAGGGAAGGCGGCTGGCACGGTCCCCCTGGGGAGGGCTACCTTTGGGGACCAGAGGCTTGGACATGGGGGAGGCCTCGGACTTTGGGGGTGCAGATGCGCGGGGCCCTCCTACATCACCAGGCCGCCCCCTGGGGCGAGAGGGACTCCTAGAGGGGTCCCCTGGCCACACACAGGCGCTTACATGCACATGCACACGCACGCGCTCACACCCACACTCACTCCGTGCATGTGCACACTCACACAAGCACACGCAGGCACCCACACTCACATGCACACGCGCGCCCACACTCACGCCGTGCACGTGCACGCTCACACTCACATGCACACGCAGGCACCCACACGCACACGCACACGCACACGCAGGCACTCACACGCACATGCACACGCGCGCCCACACTCACTCCGTGCATGTGCACACTCACACAAGCATACGCAGGCACCCACACGCACATGCACACGCGCGCCCACACTCACTCCATGCATGCTCACACTTACATTCACACGCACACGCGCGCTCACACGCGCAGGCACACGCGCACCCACACTCACTCCGTGCACGTGCACCCAAACACTCACATGCACACGTAGGCACCCACACGCACACGCACACGCGCGCTCACACACACATGCACACCCAGGCTCTTACACTCACACGCACACGCACATGCACACGCAGGCTCCCACACGCACACGCCCGCTCACACTCACATGCACACGCAGGCACCCACACGCACATGCACACGCGCGCTCACACGCACCCTCACACACACGCACACACGCTCCGGGGCCGCGCTCCAAGCGGAAGGCAGGCTTTTGCGCCAAAAGCTGTGTTTTCTGCTTGGGCTCCCGCCTCCGCTCCCCCCGTGGGCTCCATCCCGCGCGCGCCCGGGGCTTCGGGGCTGCGCTGCGGGGCCCCGCACGTCGGCGCCCCCGCTCCGGGCCGCCGGGGATGGGGTTTGGGGGGATCGGAGTGGAGGTTTGGGGGGACCAGGAGCTGGATCGCCCCGCGCCCTCGGCGGCCCCCGGAGCGCGGGCCGGAGCCGCCGGGCCGGGCTGCACGCGGAGCGGCCGGAGGGCGAGGGGCGCGCGGGGCGCTTACCTGCAGCTGCGGGGCCGGGCGCCAGGGCGGGCGGCCGGGCGGATGGACGGGCGGACGGACGGACCCGCGGCCGGGCCTGGGGTGCCGCTGCCCTCCGCCCCCTGCGCCGGCCGCGCGGGCAGACACTTCCTCAATCCGGAGCCCGGGCGGCGGCGGCGGAGGCGGCCCCGGAGGCGGCGCGTCGGGGCCGGGAGTGGCCGCCGGCCCATCCGGAACCGCGCCCGGCCCCGGGGTGGCCCGCCCCGCCCCGCGCCCCGTCCGCGCCGGGAATGCGCCCGCTTCCCCACGGGGTGTGCCAAGTGGCACTCTGGGCTGGATTATTGTATTTTTATCTTTTTTTTTAAAAAAAATATATATATATTTTATTTATTTATTTTTTTTACAGAGAGGCAGGGAGAGGGAGGGAGAGTTAGAAACATCGAGGATGAGAGAGAGACATCCATCAGCCGCCTCCCGCGCGCACTCCCCATTGGGGGGGATGTTGCCAGTTGGGTTCCCCGCCAGCCGCGTTGGGTTGCAGGCTCCATCCCCAGCAGGGGGCGCGCAGGAGGCAGCCCCCCCCCCCACCTCCCCATCAATGTTTCTCTCTCTCTCAAAATCAATTTTAAAAATACTTTAAACACACAGATTGCTGCTCTTTGGGAGACAGGGCGTGTAGATAAAACCTAGAGGGATGCTGGCATTTGATGATGCATGTTTCCCCCCCTCATAGCATATGTTCTTTAAAAAAAAAATTATTGATTGGCCGGAGCGGCTGTGGCTCAGTGGATAGAGCATCGGCCTGCGGACTGAAAGGTCCCGGGTTCGATTACTTTGGTTGCAGTTGCATCCCCAGTAGCGGGTGTGCAGGAGGCAGCTGATGGATGATTCTCTCTCATCGATGTTTCTAGCTCTCTCTCCCTCTCTCTTCCTCTCTGTAAGAAATCAATAAAATATTTTTTAAAAAATTATTGATTGCCCTAGGCAGCTTGGCTCAGTGGATAGAGCATCTGCCTGTGGACCAAAGGGTTCCGGGTTCGATTCCGGTCAAGGGCATGTACCTTGGTTGTGGGCACATCTCCAGTAGAGGGTGTGCAGGAGGCAGCTGATCGATGACTCTCTCTCATCGATGTTTCTAACTCTCTATCCTCTCCCTTCCTCTCTTTAAAAAATCAATAAAATACATTTAAAAAATTATTGATTGCTTAAGGTATTACATATGTGTCCTCCGCCCCTCCACACCCTCATGCCCTCCCCCGCCCCTGCTGTTCACGTCCCTGGGGTTGGGCTAGAAGTGTGTCCATCACCCTGAGACCGTTATGCGAACGCACATTCCGCATCCCATTGGGCTCCAGGTGCCCCCGGTATGGGGGTGGGGAGGTGGGGAGGAGACACATGGTGACGGTGTCCACCCTGGCATTCCCTGGGGGCATTCCCAAGAGGTAGCGCCCCCACCCTCACGGCCCTGGCACAGAAGCTGGGCATCCCCCTGGCCCCCTCCCTCCCCACGTCTCTTCTCCCCCCCTCCAGCCCCGTAGGACCTCGCCGACACCCCCTTTTCCCCTCCTGGCAGGGGCGGGGCAGGGCAGGGCGTGGCGGCCACGGGATGGAGGGAGTCCCCCCCCCCACATCCCTCCCCTCACCACCCCGGTGCGGCGCCTTCTGCGCGTGCGGCTGCGCCATCTGGCGGCGCCGCGAGGAAGCGCACGCCAATGCAGGACCTGGGCAGACAGACAGGAGCAGACGTGGCCACTGAGGATGGGGAGCAACTCAACATTCATTCATTCATTCATTCATTCACTCAGGAATTCTTAATTATTTATTGAATGTATTTAATGTATTCACGTACCCATCTGTTTACCTATCTATCCATCTCTATATTCATAATATATTTTTTAAAATTGATTTTAGAGAGGAAGGGAGAGGGAGAGAGAGACACACACACATCCATGATGAGAGAGAGGATCATGGGACAGCGGCCCCCCAGCACTCCCCCTATTTGTACCGAGGGTCTAAGAAAGAGAAAGATCAGCCAAAGCCGGTTTGGCTCAGCGGTAGAGCGTCGGTCTGCGGACTGAAAGGTCCTGGGTTCGATTCCGGTCAAGGGCATGTACATTGGTTGTGGGTACATCCCCAGTAGGGGGTGTGCAGGAGGCAGCTGGTCGATGTTTCTCTCTCATCGATGTTTCTAACTCCCTCTCCCTCTCCCTTCCTCTCTGTAAAATAAATAAATAAATAAATAAATATATATATATATTAAAAAAACAAACAAAATAACATGACATTTCTCAAATATCCAACTGTATTTTATTGTTGTTGCGGGTGAATAACACAGTCTGCAGTGAGGATCACAATTCCCAGGTCAATAGATTTTTTTTTCTTCCCATTTTTTACCACAGGAATAAACCTTCGGAAGAATGAGATCGAAGCCTCGATAGATTTCCATTTCTACATACAGTATATTACAGAAGGTTAAATATACCACCTCTGCGTACGTACAACTATAAAAAGATACATTCACTCTATCCATTATAAATAAAAGGTCCCGTTTCATAGTAAAGGCGTTACGATTGTACAGCGACAGAGAACCCTCGAACGCATTCCTACCAAGGTTAGTGTCTATCATGAAGGTAAAATCCTGAAAATTCAGTGTATGAGTTCGGTCCTGATTTCACACAAGGTACCGACAGTGTTAAGTGGTAAGAACTAACCGGTGCTGAGGAGACAGTGGATGGTGGATTATATATTTCAGGAAAAAAAGAAAAAGAAAAAGACAAAAAAGATAACCCTGGCCTAGCCAGTGTGGCTCAGTGGTTGAGTGCCGACCTAGGAACCAGAAGGTCACGGTTCTATTCCCCATCAGGGCACAGGCCCGGGTTAACCCCCAATCCCCAGGAGGGGGCGTGCAGGAGGCAGCCGATCCATGATTCTCTCTCATCTTGGATGTTCCTGTTTCTTTCTCTTCCTCTCCCTTCCTCTCTGAAAACCAATGGAAAAATATCCTCCCGGGAGGATTAAAAAAAAAAATTTAAAAAGAAAGAAAGAGAGCCGAAACCGGTGTGGCTCAGTGGCTAGAGCGTCGGTCTGCGGACTGAAAGGTCCCGGGTTCGATTCCGGGCAAGGGCATGGACCTTGGTTGTGGGCACATCCCCGGCAGGGCGTGTGCCAAAGGCAGCGGATCAATGTTTCTCTCTCATCGATGTTTCTCACTCTCTCTCTCCCTCTCCCTTCCTCTCTGTAAAAAAAAAAAAAAAATCAATAAAATATATTTTAAAAGAAAGAAAGGAAAGCTCCACAGCGCCACCCCCAGGCAGAACTGCAGCTGTACCCCCGGTCCACTGGTCCCTGGGACAGGAAGGAGGAGGAGAGGGAGTCTCCCCATCGGGGGAGGTCCGGGTCCAGGAGGAGGAGGGCCGGGGGTCGGCGAGGTTGGTCGCCTGGGCAGGCGTGATGGACGGGCCACATTCAGACGTCAGAGGGAAGGCCTGGCCCCCTCAGGAGTCCTTGTCGTCCAGTTTGATGGTGACCGTCTTCACCTCCGTGTATTCCGACAGCGCATACTCACCGCTGCGGCCGAGAGGGAGGGAGAGGGAAAGAGAGAGAGAGAGAGAGAGAGAGGGAGAGAGAGAGAGAGAGAGAGAGAGATAAGCGTGTAAAATTCGAGAGTCCCTCAGTCCACTCATAGCAACCGAGTTCTTTCTTTTTTATACATATTTTTATTTTACTTATTTTTAAAAAATATATTTTATTGATTTTACAGAGAGGAAGGGAGAGGGATAGAGAGTCAGAAACATCGATGAGAGAGGAGCATCGATCAACCGCCCCTTTGCACACCTCCTACTGGGGATGTGCCCGCAACCAAGGCACATGCCCCTTGACCGGAATCGAACCCGGGACCCTTCCGTCTGCAGGCCGATGCTCCATCTACGGAGCCAAACTGGTTTCGGCTTAAATATATTTTGATTGATTTCAGAGAGCAGAAGGTCGAGGGAGAGGAGAGAGAGAAAGAGAGAAACAGCCATGATGAGAGAGGATCATAGACCGGCTGCCTCCTGCACGCCCCCTCTCCTGGGGATCCAGCCCGCAATCCCGGGCCTGTGCCCTGACCTGGAACCGGCTCTTTGGGGTGGTGAGCTCGGCTTTGTGGAGGCGATGCTCAGTGGTTAAAGCGCCGGCCCCCAGACTGAAGGGTCCCGGGTTCGATTTCTAGTCAAGGGCACGTACCTGGGTTGCAAGCTCCATCCCCGGCCCTGGTGAGGGTACGTGCAGGAGGCAACCCACCGATGCGCCTCTCTCACATCGATGTTTCTCTCTGCCTCTCCTCCTCCCTTCTACTCTCTCTCTTTTTCTCTCTCTCTCAAAAAAAAAAAAAAAAAAAAAAATCCCTAGGGGAGTGGGAAATCAATGGAAAAATATCCCTGGGTGAGGATGAATAGGAAAACAAAATGAAAGATAAATTTGAAAAGGACCTCGGAGGGAGAGAAATTACAGGCTTCTCCGTAAGGCCAGCCGAGACACAGGCACATTGCCAGCCCAGCCTGGGCGGTGGGGCCGGGGAAAACCGTGGAATTCACCGAGCCGCCTGCCAGCGGGGAACGGGGAACTCCTGGCGACGTGGAGACATTCGCCGGAGACAGCGGGGCCGTGTCCAGGCTCCTGGTGAGTGAGGGCCTGGGACTTAATCAAAAGCCTCGGGAGATACACGGCAAAGGCCCAAGACACAGACACGCAGCCCGGCCGGCGGGGTTCGGGGGCGGAGCCTCGACCTAGGAACCAGGAGGTCGCGGTTCGATTCCCGGTCAGGGCACAGGCCCGGGTGGTGGGCTTGACCTCCCAGTAGGGGGCGTGCAGGAGCCAGCCGGGCCATGATTCTCATCATGGATGTTTTTCTCTCCCTTTCCCGCACAGTCTCCCTATCTCTCTGAAATCAATGAAAAAAATATATATAATTTTAACAATCCTACCTAAGAAAAGACTAAAACTGACCATCACGCCAACACACAAGATGGCTGCCTCCAGGTGGACACAAGATGGCCGCCATAAGATGGCCAGCAGTTGGGAGGGACCAGGGGAGGGCAGTTGGGAGGGACCAGGCCTGCAAGGGAGGGCAGTTGGGGGGCGATCAACCCCGCAGGGAGGGCAGTTAAGGATGACCAGGCCTGCAGGGGAGGGCAGTTATGGGCAAATAGGCTGGCAGGGGAGCCGTTAGACATCCATCAGGCTGGCAGGGGAGTGGTTAGGGGCAATCGGGAAGGTAGGCAGGCAGGCGAGCCGTTGGGAGCCAACAGTCCTGGATTGTGAGAGGGGTGTCCGACTGCCCGTTTAGGCCCGATCCCAGTTGGATCGAGGGGTCCCAGATTGGAGAGGGTGCAGGCTGGGCTGAGGGACACCCCTCTTACCCCCCACCATGCACGAATTTCATGCACCGGGCCTCTAGTCAATAAATAATAACGGACCCGCATGACCAGCCAGAAGGGCAAGGAATAGACACGGAGGGGCAGGCGCACTTACAGCTCTCGGCCGTTCCCTGACATTTTGAAGCCGCCGAATGGAGCCTGGGCGTAGATGGCGTTGTAGCAGTTGATCCTGGAGAGAGAGAGGGAGGGAGACAAGACCGTGGTGACCCGAGGGGACCCACCTGGCGTTTTCACGTCCCGGCGGCGAGTTTTAACCATTGAGCCCGTGTGCATTCAACCAAGGAGCCCGTCTGCCTTCTGTGCCTCCCAGCGGAAACGGAGGTTTGAATATTCCCAGCATAAAGCTTCCCACTTATTTAGTTATTCCCCCCCCCCCCCCGCAACGATTCAGGAAAGATCAAAATAGCCGAGACCGGTTTGGTTCAGTGCATGGAGCGTCGGCCTGCGGACTCAAGGGTCCCAGGTTCGATTCCGGTTGGGGGACATGTGCTTTGGTTGCGGGCACATCCCCCGTGGGGGGTGTGCAGGAGGCGCCTGATGGATGTTTCTCTCTCATCGATGTTTCTAACTCTCTAGCCCTCTCCCTTCCTCTCTGTAAAAAAAAAATCAATAAAATTATATATATATATATATATATATATATATATATTTTAAAAAAATAAAAAGTTTTCCGAGAATGCCGTGTGTAACCCTGGGCAGGTCACTGCACCTCTCTGAGCCTGCATGCCCTCAGGAATGAACTGAGGCCATAACGGTACCCATTTCACAGACGGCGGTTGCGAGGATCCAGCCAAGTAAAGACAGTGCGTGGCCCGTAATACCCGTGTTTCCCCGAAAATAAGACATCCTCCGAAAATAAGACCTAGCGCACGGAGAGATAAGACATCCCCTGAAAATTAGACCTAGCGCAACTTTGGGAGAAAAAAAAATTAATCTAAGACACTGTCTTGTTTTCGGGGAAACAGGGTAGATAACAGCGAGTCCATGAGTCATGAAGCCAGCCAGCTGCCCGGGACCCCAAAACAACCTTCTGACACCCCCCCCCCCCACAACACCCACCAGACAGTGCCAGACTCCAAGGCGGACGCCAGCTTCAGGGCTTTGTCCAAGTTTTTCGTGAACACAGCTGCGGTGAGCCCGTACTCCAGGCTGTTGGCTCTCCGGATCACCTCCTCCATCGTCTTGAACTTCAGGATCGGCTGCACCGGCCCAAAGATCTACAGATCGATGGCAGGGATGGCGGTGAGGGCCAGGCCGGCCGGCCGGCGGGTGTGGCTCAGGGGTTGAGTGCCCAACTGTGAACCAGGAGGTCACGGTTCCATTCCGGGTCAGGGCACAGGCCCGTGTTGTACCCTTGATCCCCAGGAGGGGGCGTGCAGGAGGCAGCCGATCCACAATTCTCTCTCATCATCATCATCGATGCTTCTCTCTCTCCCTCTCTCTCTCTCTCTCTCCATCCCCTTCCGTCCTCTCTGAAATCAATAAAAAATGTTTAAAAGAAGAAAAGCACCCCCTTCCCACGATATTAGGGGTCGCTGAGCCCCAGAGACGACCCCCCCCCAGCAGTGCCTCCCCTCGGCTCAGCCCCCCAGGCCCCCGCACCTCCTCTCGGGCGATCCGCATGGTGTCCGTGACCTCCGAGAAGACGGTGGGCTTGATGAAGAGGCCCCTGTCCTCCATGGCCGCGCCCCCACACTCCAGCTTGGCCCCCTCCTTCTTGCCGCTCTCGATGAGTGCGAGGATTTTGTCGAACTGGCTTTGGTCGATCTGCAAAAGCACAACGGGGAGAGGAGCAGGCTATTTGGGAGTCCCAGGTGGAGCCACACGCGTGCCCAGACCCCCAGCCTCCCGGGTAAACACGCGGTGCCCATGCGTGAAAATTTGCAGGGAGGGAGGCCCGCTTTCACCGTGCGTGGGCCGGCCCGGCTGCCCGCCTCAGTGTTTACCCAGGTCATGTTCACCCCGTCCCTGGCTGCCCCAATCGGGCCCCACCCCGCAGCTCTCCGCCCTGGGGTTATGTGGTTTCCTCTTATTTATTTTATTTTATTTTAAAAAATATATATATATGTTTATTGATTCTTCACAGAGAGGAAGGGAGAGGGAGAGGGAGTTAGAAAACATCGAGGAGAGAGAACCATCGACCAGCTGCCTCCTGCACACACACCCCCACCCCCGCCGGGGATGTGCCCGCAACCAAGTACATGCCCTTGACCGGAATCGAACCCGGAACCCTTCAGTCCACAGGCCGACGCTCTATCCACTGGGCCACACCGGCTAGGGCTTTTTTTATTTTTATTTTTTTAATATATATATATTTATTTATTTTAAATATGTTTGTATTGACTTCAGAGAGGAAGGGAGAGGAAAGAGAGAAACATCCACGATGAGAGACAATCATGGATGGGCTGCCTCCTGCAGGCTACCTACTGGGGAATCAAGCCAGCACCCCGGGCCTGTGCCCTGACCGGGAATCGAACCCTGACCTTCTGGTTCCTAGGCGGATGCTCAGCCCCTGAGCCACGCCGGCCGGGCTGTGATGCCCTCACGTTTAAAGATTTAATGTACAAAGCCCCCTTCAGCGGGAGGGCCCCCCAGGCTCCCGGCGGGACCGGGGTCCCCCAGCTCAGAGCGGCCCGTTACCTGGGGCCCGTGCTCCGTCCTGGCGTCAAAGGGGTCCCCGACGGGCCGCGTCCGGGCGCGCTCCACGCTCCGGCGCACGAACTCGGGGTACACCTGCTCCTCCACGAACACCCGGGAGGCGGCCGTGCAGCACTGGCCTTGGTTGAAGAAGATGCCCTGATGGGCACACTCCACGGCCAGGTCCACTGGAGGGCGGGGTGGGGGACAGGCGGACGGGGAGGGGGAGGAGGAAGCAATGAAATCGTCAGGGCAGGACCGGCCCGGCCACAGCGCCACCCCCACGCGGAAACAGGGTCCCGGACTCTGGAACGGATTCCGCTCCCAGCGGGCCCCAAAGGCACGGAGGACGGGGGCCCCGTGTGGGGTCCGAGGAGGGTGGGGTGTGGGCTGGAGAGCCCGTGTGTCCACCGAGCCACATGGCAACGGCACAACGCTCGACGTGTCCTTGGAGACCCACGTGTTTTAAACAGAAACGTCTCCTGACGCCGCTTCTGCAACACAGACGCGCCCGGGCAGCGGTGTTCTGTGGAAGAGCCGCACTCCGGGGCCAAAGAGCCGCAGGTGGCTCGAGAGCCGTGGTTTGCAGACCACCGGGGTGGGAGAGCAGGCCGAAGGTGGAAAAGCACCCCACTTGTGTGTGTGTGTGTGTGTGCACCTATGTGTGTGCCTATGTGTGTGCATGTATGCCTGTGTGTGCCTGTGTGTCTGTGTGTGCCTGTGTGTCTGTGTATGCATGTGTGTGCACATGTGTGCGTGCCTATGGGATTGCCTGCGTGCGTGTGTGCCTCTGTGTGTGTGCGTGTGCGCGCATGTGCATGAGTGTGTGCGTGTGCTGTGTGTTCACATGTGCACACATGTGCGTGCCTGTGTGTACGTGTGTGGTGTGTGCATGTGTGTGCATGTGTGTGCATGTGTGTATGTGCACGTGGTATGTGTACATGTGCGTGCGTGTGTGCGTGCGTGTGTGTGCACGTGCATGTGTGTGCGTACGTGCGTGTGTGCTTATGGGATTGCCTGTGTGTGCGTGTGTGCGTGTGTATGCCTGTGTGTGTGTGTGCCTGTGTGTGGTGCCTGTGCCTGCGGTGCCTGTGTGCGTGTGTGCCTGTGTGTGTGCCTGTGTGCGTGTGCCTGTGTGTGTGTGCCTGTGTGCGTGTGCGTGTGTGCCTGTGTGCGTGTGTGCGTGTGTGCCTGTGTGTGGTGCCTGTGTGTGCGTGTGCCTGTGTGCGTGTGCGTGTGTGCCTGTGTGCGGTGCCTGTGTGCGGTGCCTGTGTGCGGTGCCTGTGTGCCTGTGTGCGTGTGTGCCTGTGTGCGGTGCCTGTGTGCGGTGCCTGTGTGCGGTGCCTGTGTGCGGTGCCTGTGTGCGTGTGTGCCTGTGTGCGGTGCCTGTGTGCGGTGCTCCCCCGGTGCTGAGCGGTCCCTGCAGCGGGCGGGGACTCACGGTCGGCGTCAGCGCACACGATGCAGGGGTTCTTCCCGCCCAGCTCCAGCGTCACCCTCTTCAGGTTGCTCCGGGACGCGGCCTCCTTCACCAGCTTGCCCACCTTCGGGGGGACACAGAGACAGGACGCGGGCCCGGAGGGGCGGGCTGAGCCGTGGCCCTGGCCGGAGTGGCCGCGCCCAGCACCCCAAGAGGCTGGCCTCTCTGCCCCGCCTCCCACCGTCCCCACACCGGGGAGGGGGCCCCGGTCCCCCGCCCTCCCTCCGCCGCGGCCCCGGGGGCTACCTCGATGGAGCCGGTGAAGGCGATCTTGCTGATCCGCGGGTGGGCGGACATGGCGGCCCCCACGGTGGGCCCGAATCCCGGCACGATGTTCACCACGCCCGGGGGGAAGCCGACCTGGAGGACAGCGAGAGGGCACTGAGGACGGGGGGGAGGGGAGGGGCCTGGGGGAGGGTCCTGGCTGAGGGACGGCCCCGGGCAAAGGGGACACCTGTCCACCCTCGGACTCCACACCCCGTCGGCCAGGGGCTGGGAAGCGGTGCGTGTGCCTCCCTCCTGGCAGCATTGTTTCACCCTAAAAAGGCCTCTGAGCTGGCCGGTGTGGCTCAATGGATAGAGCGTCCACCTGTCAACCGGGAGGTCACGGTTTGATTCCCGGTCGGGGCACAGGCCCGGGACGGTGGGCTCCATCCCCACCAGAGGGCGTGCGGGAGGCAGCCGATCCGAGATTCTCTCTCCTCACGGGTGTTTCTCTCTCTCCCTCCCTCTCCCTTCTCCTCTGAGAAGGGTCCTGGACTCTGGAACGGATTCCGCTTCTAGCTGGTCAGTGACCACAGGCAGGAGGGAGAAACCAACGGGCTCTTGCCAAGCGAAACAGGCGTCACCCCCTTCCCACGCACAGCCAAGCTCAGCCGGGCAGTTTTTTGTTTTTGTTTTTAAAAAATATATTTTTATTGCTCTTTTTACAGAGAGGAAGAGAGAGGGATAGAGTTAATAGAAACATCGATGAGATGCCGAAATCGGTGTGGCTCAGTGGACAGAGTGTCGGCCTGCGGACTGAAAGGTCCCAGGTTCGATTCCTGTCAAGGGCATGGATGGACCTTGGTTGTGGGCACATCCCCAGGAGGGGGTGTGCAAGAGGCAGCTGGTCGATGTCTCTCGCTCATCGATGTTTCTAACTCTCTATCCCTCTCTCTTCTTCTCTGTAAAAAAATCAATAAAATATATTTAAAAAAGAAAAGAAAGAAAAAAGAAACATCGATGAGAGAGAAACATCCATCAGCTGCCTCCTGCACACCCCCTCCTGGGAATGTGCCCGCAACCAAGGCACATGCCCTTGACCGGAATCGAACCCGGGACCCTTGAGTCCGCAGGCCGACGCTCTATCCACTGAGCCACACCGGTTTCGGCGCGGCCAGGCAGCACCTTTATCTTGCGCCGGCGGCCTGTTCCCTGGGAGCGGGGATGATACCGAGAACACATCCTATGTTCCTTTCGGACGCCTCACCTCTTGGATCAGAGAGCCGAGGTGGAGGGCGGTGAGGGGCGACTGCTCGGCCGGCTTGACGACGATGGTGTTGCCGCAGCAGAGCGCCGGCGCCAGCTTCCACACCAGCATCATCAGGGGGAAGTTCCACTGCAGCAGGGCACAGGGGGAGCCGGGTCACAGAGGGCACTTGCTTTGGGGCATATCGGGTAACGTAGGAGTTTGCAACGATCAGCGTTGCATCCCATCGTGGTGCTTGCTCCCTACGTGCATTCCGGGAGGGGGAGGCTGACAGTTATTTCTGGTGGAAGGGTTTCCACCGTGCGTGCACTGCCTCCTCCCCATGTGGAGGTTCACGTACAAGGACCTCGGCGCCTTCAAAGGCTCTGAGTAAGTCCCGTAGGAGTTGTGGGATCGATCCCCAGGGTGGGGCGTGCAGGAGGCAGCCCATCAGTGATTCTCTCTGGTCAAGGGTGCTTCCCTCTCTCTCTCCCTCTCCCTTCCTTCTCTGAAATCAAGAAAAATATATTTTAAAGGCAAAACCACAACAACAAAACCTCCCCAAAACAGAAGGCCTTGGTTCTCACGGGCCCCTGGGAGCAGCCGAGGAAACCCTGTACTTACAGGAATGATGGCCCCACACACACCGATGGGTTCGTGCTGCGTGAAGCACACAACGTTGTCATCTGCACGAGAGGGGACACGGGGGAAAGGAAGACACATGAATCCAGATGGAGAATTTCCAGGAGGGCCCTGGCCGGTGTGGCTCTGTGGATAGAGCGTCGGCCTGCAGACTGTGAAGGGTCCTGGGTTCGATTCCGGTCAAGGGCGTGTACAACGTTGGTTGCAGGCACATTCCCAGTAGGGGGTGTGCAGGAGGCAGCTGATCCAAGTTTCTCTCTCCCCTCGATGTGTCTCACTCTCTATCCCTCTCCCTTCCGCTCCGCACAAAATCAATAAAATCTATATTTTTTAAAAAAATAAAGAAGAATTTCAAGGAGGAAGAAGACAGGGCCGCAAAGGTGCCCGCTCTGAGGCGCCTGGCCTATGACACAGAGACTCAGACCGGCGGCGGCGGCGGCGGTGGTGTCACGCTCAATTCCAAAAGCGAAGTTCCTGCCCGGCCAGTGTGGTTCAGCGGTTAAGCGCTGACCTAGGAACCAGGAGGTCACGGCTCGACTCCTGGCCAGGGCACATGCCTGGGCTGTGGGCTCCATCCTCAGG